CTCTTCCGAAAAATCTGCTGACCGGTGGATCCGAGGCCGACGACGACGACTTCCAGATCCCTCCGTCCACACAAACTTCACAGCGAGCGCCCCTCAAATCCACCAACTCCAGAATCTCTACACGTCGTCCGAACAAGAAGCTGAGGCAAAACTATGATGTTGGGAAAGAGAACATGGGTTCCGAATCTTGCTCCGACCAGGAATTCGGATCCGGTAATCACATTCTGGGTGTGGATCTGTTCTGTTCAAGTGTTACTCAAGGATGTAGCTTGGATTGTATCCCGTCGAGCATCGATTGCAGCGTCGAAGATTATGGTGGTGCATTTCGCTCTTATGGAGTGGAAACGGATTACGGGCAGTGTTCAACTGAGGTGGAAGAGAATGATGGTTGTTTTAAGGACAGACGGGAGGGTTATCGGTGTAATTCAATAGAGGCTAGGTTACTGGGGCCGAAAATAGATCCTGGGTCTGGCGGTGGAATGGAAGAAGATGACGGGTTTCTTGAGGATGGTACAGAGCTTGACGTGCTGATGAAGCTTTGCTCAGAGGAAAACGGTGGAGAAGGTAATTCAGGGGATGGTGATTCAGGTTTGGTTCAGTGTCCGCTATGTACTATGGATATTTCGGCTTTGACCGAGGAGCAGAGGCAGGTTCACAGCAACGAGTGTCTTGACAAAGTGGATAATGGGCCACATGACCACGTAAGTTTACGTGTTACATGATAACTTTGTTGGCAGAGGTATTCAGGTTTGATAACTGATCTTTAATTTATGAACAGTATGCGGTATTCTGTCTGTTGATGATTCTTGTGTTTAGTAGTTGAAGACATAGTACGAGGGAGGATCTTAGGGGCTATCTGAAAATTCATGCTAGCTTGTTTTCTTTTTACAGTATCGTGATGAGATGGTGAACTGGAAAATATAGGCTGATTGATCATGCATTTTTTTAGTTTAGCAGCTTAAGGGAGCTCTCACCGAAGTGAATGGAAACACGTATACAAATGAAGTTCTATCTTTCATCTTTTTCTGGTTTTAGCTCTGTGTTGACAGTGTTAATGGGGAAATGTCTGCCGGATGTCAGTTGACATTCTTTACATGATTTACCTATGAATTTGTGTGTAGGATGATTCAGCGAAGAAATATGAGCAGACGTCTTCTTTCATGGAAGAGTCTGTGGATGATCCTCTTCGGCTGCCTCGGCAAGTTGACGATCTGTCTGAAGTGCTTATATGGCTAAGGAGTCTAGGTTTAGCGAAATATGAAGATATTTTTATTCGTGAAGAGATCTACTGGGATACCCTTCAGTCACTCACAGAGGAGGTACAGCCCTTATGAGCTTCTTTAACAGAGCAAAAATGGAACATTTTTTACTTTTTCTTGTATATGAAGAGCTTGCTCTTTCTATGTCAGATATGAGCTTGATAATTGACTTGGCTGTGAGTGTCTTCTCTAGGATCTCCTGAGCATAGGTATAGCAGCACTTGGTCCCAGGAAGAAAATCTTGAATGCGCTTAGAGAACTTAGAAAATCCAATGCCTCTTCAGTTGAAGCACAAGCTCAGCCTTTCTCTATGAATAACCATGCTATAGAGGTACAACCAGATGATGGATCATCAACCCGAGAGGCCATTCAGACCAAAACAGTAGCCGCAAACAAGTTAATAACAGAATTTTTCCCCGGTCTAGCTATCGAGGGGAAGAAAGTTCGGAGGACCCCTAAAGAACCTCTCTCAGAAAAGGGTCCATCAAACTCTCGTGGTAGACGTGCTGATAAAAGACATGTTAGCAATGGAAAATCAAAAATTGTTCCACAATGGTGTTGCATTCCTGGGACACCTTTTCGTGTGGTAATGGTTTTTTTTTTTTTGCAATTATGACCATGACTCTCAGTTCCAAATCAAATGTGGAACCTTGTTATGTGTTCCCTTGCCTCTCATACAAAGCTCATATATCTGTGCAATACGCACAAAGGCGCACCTATATGCACAAATAATCATTTGTGTTGATTATGTATACTAGTAGATTTTCATATATTGAAAATGAAACGGAACTTCAACTTCCTGCACTTATCTGGGGGAGAATCGATATGATATCTTCTTTCTGTTGATTATGTATGGCCTAATCTATGTATGCAGGACGCATTCAAGTACCTCAGAGGGGACTGTTGCCATTGGTTTCTCACTCACTTTCATCTAGATCGTAAGTAGCTTTGTTATTCTTGGCTAAGTAAGTATGCAATCTCGAGTTCGGAAGAATATGGTTAAACCCATGCTCGAAGCTGCGGTTGAAAGCTTTCATCACATAGGTCATTCTCTACAATATTTAGACCAACATTCGCATGTAAGATATGATTCTTTAATGTTGCAGATTATCAAGGTCTTACAAAGTCATTTTGTCATGGGAAGATATACTGTTCCTCAGTTACAGCTAAGTTGGTAAATATGAAGATTGGAATCCCATGGGAGAGATTGCAAGTCCTGCAAATTGGCCAGAAGGTTAACATTGCTGGTATTTATGTAACATGCTTCGACGCAAATCACTGCCCTGGATCCATCATGATACTTTTCGAACCTCCCAATGGTAAGGTGGGTTCTTAACTTGATACAGTTTGGCAATGCATACCTATCAGCATCTTTAACTAACAATTTAAATTAATTGTTACTGGAATCTTTTTTTGTTGGTGTAGGCGACACTACATACGGGTGATTTTCGCTATACTGAAGATATGGGAAACTGGCTGAGTAGATATCACATAGATTCTCTTATACTCGATACTACATACTGCAACCCCCAGGTTAGTCTCACACCAAAAATCATGTATAATGTATTTTGTTGCCACGCATATTCCACATCAAGAGCAAGTATGTTAATTAGATTTGGTAAAGATGGACAGCATAAATTTTAATACCAATGGTCCACATACACATAGTTAGTATCTATTGATCAGGAGTTGAACCCAGAACCAAACTCAGAACCACCTCAACTGTCCTTGGTAGGAGGATCTACTTTCTCTGGCTTTGGCATTTTATGCCGGCAGCGAGAAAAGCAGCACCTGTAGATCTTACAATTGATCTTGGGCTGGCTGTTTACCATGATGCTTTTGTTGATAGCACTGGATGATTGAATATCATATTGTTGCAGTATGACTTTCCAAAGCAAGAAGCTGTGATACAATTCGTCATCGAGTCTATTCAAGCAGAAGCATTTAATCCCAAGACTCTCTTTCTAATCGGCAGCTACACTATTGGTAAACTTCTTCTTCGTCACATATGTTTTATATCTTGGATACAGAGAAGAAGATCATAATATTTGGAATCTTGCTCGTATCTTGTCTTGTAATAAAGGAAAGGAGAGACTGTTCTTGGAGGTCGCTCGTGTGCTACGTAAAAAGGTCTACATCAACGTTACAAAGCTAAAAATCCTAGAGTGTCTGGGATTCTCAAAGGAAGATATGCAGTGGTTTACAGTAAATGAACTGGAAAGCCATATCCATGTCGTGCCCATGTGGACGCTTGCCAGTTTTAAACGGCTGGAGCATGTGGCCAGGCGGTACAAGGTAAAGATACATAAACTTGTGTTTTGTTCTGTTTAAAATAACTATCTAAACACAAACAGTTGTGTTTTTTCCCGTTACCCTCTTCATGATGGTGATTCTTTTGTTGGGTAGAACCGATTCAGCCTCATAGTTGCGTTCTCTCCTACCGGCTGGACATCCAGCAAGGCGAGAAAGAAGTCGCCAGGTAGAAGGTTGAAGCAGGGTACAATAATCAGGTAATTCTCTCATATCTTTATTCCTCTCATCTTCAACCTTTTGGGACATCATGCCCCGTTCCATTGACATGAGAAACATGTTGAAAAAGCAAATAATCTTCAACATATTAAATCAGGTACGAGGTTCCGTACAGTGAGCACAGCAGCTTCACAGAGTTGAAAGAGTTTGTGAAACTTGTCTCCCCTGAAAGGATAATACCGAGTGTCAACAATGACGGACCCGACTCTGCTTCTTCCATGGTTTCTCTCCTCGTTTCTTGATTGATTCTGTTCATAACCTGCTTGCCAGTTTCTTTGGCTGGTCAATATGAGCAGAGAATGTCCATTGACCCAAATCTTAAAAAGTATGGAAAATCTGAAAACATGCAATGGATGGAGGATGGCTCTGTTCATTTGTTCCAATTTTATGTCACAAATTTGAAATCTTTGGAAATGAAACTTTTCTTAGAGAAAAAGTTCAAATTAAGAGAATGAAAGCTCTTGTTTCATCATGTCAATCATCTTCTTCTTTTGTGTTTTGAATTTTAGAGAAGGAAAGTTGTAGAACATGAAAAAGAAAAGAGTGAATTGTGGGAAAATTTTGTATGTTACCTTCTGATACCTTTTTTTCTTCTACAGTTTATATTGTAACATTTATATATAAACAACAATATACGAATTTGCTGTAATCTATTACAACTGAACATCAAATCGCAAAATTACCAAAACGAATTTCTAATATCATCGTCGTCGTCATCATTGCTGTCCTCTCATCATTGGTGGTTTCTGTTCGATTCTTTGCCGTTCCTCTCTGATGATGTTCAACACACACCGTGGATTTTGCATGCTCGGGACCAAAGCCTTATTCACGGTCAGATGGGTGGTATGGACAAATCTACTATTGTCGGAGATAAGAACCGAACCGAACGGATGATCTCCTACGGGAGACTGATGAGGACATCAATAACAGTATGGACGGTATGGGCACATACGGTGTAGAACTAATGTCACTTCTGAATGATGCAGTTCATAGAGTTCCATATTACATTTTGATGATTCTCATATTGTCATTAGTCTATAAATAGAACACGAGATTGTAACACATCAAACAATCATATTTTATTTATATTGTGAGAAATATTTTCTTTTGATTTTTTACGAACTGTGTTCGAACTTATTGGATCCCATCATTGGCGTCCAACACGGTTTATCAAACGGATATGCATAACCGTTTGTGGTGTTTTTTTTATTTTATTATTATCTCAAAGTTGTTAATAGGTCTAGGACGTCATGGCATTTTAGATTTGTGCCAAGGTATATTTCATGTCACTCATTGATAATACGAGTGACTACGACTATATATTTCATTGTGACTGAGTTTGACTCATATATGTCAATGTCAATACACTATCGATTTTTATTGATGTGTACATGAGGATTACGACAAAATAAACTCTAAATGCCTAAAATAAATATCAGATTTTGGATGAGAACTTATCCATATTCAAACTCTATATGGATCGGACATAACTTTTGGGATTTGCAGTGATTTATTCGGTAGATTTTGGTGTTTTTTGTGGAAAATTATTAGAAAGAAGAAATCGATAAGATAAAGGTATAAAGATATTATGGGAAAAATATATTTACAAAGTGCAATTGTTTTTTTTTTAAATCAAATAAATATACGAGGCCAAGTAAAGACCATCCAAAACACATGACGTGACCGGTTTAACTCATATCTTAATTACTCTTCAACAATAATACAAATACAGTTGCGTTGGCTTGCTAAAAAAATTAAAGCCACTCATAGAGAAGAGAAGAAAATAATACCTTTAACAAAAAAATGCCACGGGATAAGTCCAAATGGTTTGTACCCCGGAAAAAATATTAAATGATTAAACGTATCGACCCATATAATTTTGTATGATCGGTTGGTCGAAATATATATTTTTTTTAGAAGTTCCAAAGATTAAGGGAGTGGTGAGAAAAATCATCGCCAACTTCATCGTCGTAAAAATTAGATGGAAGTTGCTGTTCGGTCGGAAAAAACAAGTTGGTGGATTCGTCGGGGAAAAAACTCAACTCCTCCGGTGGACCCACATCGTTCTCCCACGAAAACGGCCAGTACGGTGCCGTTTTGTAATCACCCGCCGTCTTGTCGTTGCTATAATTGTTGTTAATATCCTCCACTCGCTCCGAAGCGGCCCCACCACCACTATGGCTTGTGTTTTCTCCACGTGCCGAAATTCCATCCTCATCCATGTCATCATCATCATCATCATCCCCCTCCGTCGCGGATCGTCCACAAGGCATCATCACCGGCGGCGGGTTCTCGTTTGCAAAGCGGCTCGCCCCCGCCTGAATCTCCGGCGGAGTGAGGGAGCAGCCACCGGGAATCTCTGGAGGGTTCGCCGGAAAGTTGAAGCTCGCTCCGGGACCTCTCAGGCAATATAAAGCCGCGTCGAAGGCACGCGCCGCCTTCTCCGCCGTGTCGAAGGAGCCCAACCAGATCCTCTCCCGACTGTTCGGGAGACGGATCTCCGACACCCACTTCCCCCACTTCCGCTTCCGTACACCTTTGTACTTCGGGGAAGACGACGACGACTGATCCATGTATATATATCTATGTATGTATATCTACACAGACAGAATTGTTTGGGGTTATTTCAGGTGGTCCTTCAGGGACGCTCGCCGCTAAGGGTGTGATAGTGAAAATGGCGGCTCTGGTTATGAGTGTATATATGTTTAAGTGTGTGTGTGTATATATATGAATAGATGGTCTTTGTTGGCGCGTTGAAGATAGAAAGAAGACGCGGTTGAGAGATGCGTCTTGAAAGCACGTGCCAGAATTCAGATGCTGACCATTCCGACGTACACCACGTCGGATCCAAACTCTTTTTCTACATTTTACTTTTTTTTTGGTAAATATTTTTTCTATATTTTTACTTCTTTTCCTTTTATTTCTAGAACGGATTATTGAAAAAAAAACTCTATCCATTTCTGTTTCCCAAAGGATTCGACTTTTTTAGGCCAGTTTCCTTTTTTGTTCCAAATATTTTTCCATATTTTATAAAATGAATTTTTTTATTATTATTGAGTGTTGTGCTTGATTTTAGTTTATCTACTTTTTTTTTTGTCTCGGTCGCTTTGTGTTTATTTTTTATTTATCACAACTTGGTATATATATTGAATCACGATAAGATTCTCGAATTTGGACATAATTTTATCCAAAATCTCTTACGTATGATTCTGGTTTTCTATTAATTCTTTTTTTTTTTTATAAATGGTTAAGTATATATATACGCTGTGAAAATATTTCATATACAAAAAAATCGGACTTTTGCCGAAAAGACAATCAAAAGAGTAATGGAACAAAGACACCCAACACAAACAAAAGTTTGAGACGCAACTCAGATTAATACCCTCGCAGCCATTGTTACGGAAGAGTGAGAAAGTACCAGTCCTCAAGCAAGTAGGGTTGCGATTTCCGATTGGATTCCAGCAAAGAGCGGATGGAGTTACGTGCCATTTGCCCAAGTCGACGGCTCAATTCGTCTGCCGAGGTTTCTTGTTGGCAGAATCATCTCGAGTTCCGCTCGTTCCAGATTCTGGATTAGTAGTTTGGACAAGAAGGCATCGGTTTCTTGACCGGTTGTGTCGCGGGGATTCACCCAGGCAAGGCAGTGGTCTAATTCAGCGGGTGGGTTGTTCCAGATCTTGGTGGCAAACCAAGTCCAGATGTGAGAACTGTACTCACATCGATAGAAAAGATGCGAATGCGATTCATCTTGGGTATTGCACAGGGGGCATGTCACAGACTCACAGATGGTGTCGCCCCATCGATGAAGTCTGTCTCTCATACGAAGTCGCCGATGAACAGCAAGCCACTGTATAAATCGATACTGCGGAGTTCCTTCTGGGAACCAAACCAACTTATGCCAAGGGACTATTGGAGTTAGGGGTGGCCATTTCGGTTATTAACCGAATAACCGAACCGAACTGAACCGAATAAGAGCGGTGGAGAGAACGAAACTCGAGAATTTTTGATGGTACAAGAAGGACATTACAAGAGATACGCATGCACATTGGCAACATGATTCGTGATATCTTCCTCTCGGTTCAAAAGGGGAAGTATTAGGGGTGGCCATTTCGGTTAATAACCGAATAACCGAACGGTTGAGGAAGTTGAATAACCGTTCGGGTTCGGTTCGGTTCGGTTAATAACCGAATAACCGCGGTTAACCGAACGGTTATTAGAGTTTTTATAATATTTTAATTTTTACCCTTATTATTATTAGTGTTATTTTTTTGTAGTTCATTTGTACCTTATGTGTTTCACCTAATAAACCATAAAATTTAATATTTTTAATTTTTAATCTAATTATTGAAGTTTTTGTAGATTTTTTTGTAACTTTTTTGGAGGATTAATTATTTTATAGATTTATTTGGATAAATATTTTGAAATTTGTATAGGATTAATATTTTTTTTTAAAAATATATCATAATCGAACCGAACCGATTTAAAACCGAACCGAATAAACCAAAAAATTTAACTGTTTGGTTATAATTTTATTATGCAAAAACCGGACCGAACCGAACCGAAACCGAACCGAACCGAACCGAATAAATCTATATAACCGTTTGGGTATGATTTTTTTATAACCGAAATAACCGAACCCGAAATAACCGAACCGAAACCCGAAATGACCACCCCTAATTGGAGTAACCTGCCGCATTACTGTTGGGATTTTTGGGATATCTAGAACGAATCTAATTTCTAATAGATCAGTAGGGTTTGCGCAGCGGACGCAAAACAAAAATTTTATGAAATCCTAAAACCTAGCATGCATGATTTTGTAGAAACGTTAGAACACTTAACTCAATCGATCCGGGGCGTGTATCAATCGATGTAATCGTCCGATCACAAAAGGTAAGAAGAATACCTCGCCCTCTTCACGTATCCACACGATGGAAAGGAATGCAACGGTTGGAACTCGTCTGCTAGGACTAAAGAACGCGTTCTTCTTTGCGTAAAGGTTTCAGTGATCTAACTCAGGGTTTTTCGATCTCAAAACTCTCTCAAAAAGTCTGTGAAATCGTCCTCTTACCCTTAGGAGGTGTTCCTCAAGGATTAATAACCCAAAACCGTAATTTGAGTGAGATAAGGAAATCCCGACGCCTAGACCGATCGGTCCAGAGCTGGATCGATCGGTCTGGAACTTTAAAACCTGCGGACCGATCGGTCCAAGCCTCTAGACCGATCGGTCTGGAACTTTTCCGGATCGAACAACCTTTGTTCGAAACCTCTGGACCGATCGGTCCAGCGTCTGGACCAATCGGTCTGGACTAGCTGGACCGATCGGTTTGGCCTCCTCTCCACCGGAAATTTCTCGTCTTTTCTCGCGCTTTTTCCTTTCCTATGTGTATGACCCTGTAGGCTCATCCGATATAGTAGTATAACCCGAAATCTCCATTTCGGTTATACAAGTCATATGCGGTCTCTAGCAAGACATTATGACTACCTATCCCGAATAGAGTTTGTCTGTGATCTTACGAACGTCGGTGATAATTCCGGTCGATGATCCTTTTGTATCACGATATCATATGTCGAACATAAGGAATGGAGAAACCACCTTATCTGATTCGACTGCTTTCTCATTCACTGAGTTCGACCGTACGAAATAGACGACGTTCGTCTATAGTGTGGCCACATATTTCTACAGTCTCGCTCACACGAGGGGCTCAACGATATCTCTCTCTTTTACGAGAGGTAAAATCCCATCTTGACTATCTACAATCCAGCACATGATTCGTGCCATACCTGATACACGCCTTTATACTCCTCGTGTTATGCATGACGTTTGACATATTCAAAGTACACAACTCCTCATGTTGGATTCCGTAGATATCTCAGGTCATAGGATCCAATCATGGAACCGTCACATGAGATTCCAGTCATGACGTTAGTCTATGTGACAATCTCATGCGGGTCAGTCCAGTATTTTGTTCTCCAACGAATACATATGATTGTGATCGTATCCAATACCCATGATCATCTCCGTGATCATCTATCACACATCATACTAGTCTTACTCCATCATTGTTCCCACAATGACATATGACTATGGAGTTTAGTATTGTTCATAACAATACATGGAATTCATAACATATTGAAGTATGCAAAACATGTAATGAATCAAACACTCATCCATAAAACTATAGTAAGTGTCAATACATCAAATGTATCAAAATAAAAGCTCGTAAAACAGTACATCAGAGAGCACAAAATCAACAATCTCCCACTTGCTCTACTCATGGACTGCTAAACATCTAATCCCCATATCCCTAACATGACCCTCATGCTTCGGCGAAGGGAGAGGCTTCGTCAACGGATCGGCAATGTTGTCATCTGTCGATACTGTGCATATGTGCACGTTTCCTCTGTCTATGATCTCCCTGATAAGGTGAAATCGTCTGAGTATGTGTTTGGATCGTTGATGGGACCTAGGTTCTTTCGCTTGTGCGATTGCACTATTGTTGTTATAATACAGATCAATGGGGCTATCAACACTAGGAATGACACCCAAGTCGCCAACGAACTTTCTGGTCCAAACAGCTTCATTTGCTGTGTCCGACGCTGCAATATACTCAGCTTCTGTACTAGAATCTGCTACGGTTGCTTGCTTAGAACTCTTCCAGCTTATAGCGCCTCCGTTCAAGCAGAAAACATAGTCAGACTGTGATCTATAGTCATCCGGGTCTGACTGAAAACTAGCATCGATGTAACCCCTTATAACGAGCTCGTCTTCCGACCCACCGTATACCAAGAATACATTCTTAGTTCTTTTCAAGTACTTCAGGATGTTCTTGACGGCGATCCAGTGTGTCTCACCTGGATCTGACTGGTATCTACTCATAATGCTCAACGCATAGGATACATCCGGTCGAGTACAAAGCAATGCATGATGAATCCAATTGCCGAAGCAGATGGAATCCTATCCATGCGTTCTCGCTCATCAGGTGTCGTAGGACACTGACTCTTGCAAAGAATTGTGCCATTGCTCATCGGTAAGGTTCTTTTCTTGGAATCTTGCATCTTGAACCGTTTCGAGACCTTATCGATGTAGGTACTCTGACTTAATCCTAGAAACCACCTCGATCTATCTCTATAGATCTTGATGCCTAGAATATAGGCCGCTTCTCTTAGGTCCTTCATATAAAACTGTGTTCCTAGCCAAGACTTTACGTCTTGCAAGATAGGAACGTCATTCCCTATTAGGAGAATGTTATCCACGTACAACACTAGAAATACTACTGTGCTCTAATAACACGTATTTTGGGTGACGCTTTGATATAGGATGTCTAGCGTATTTCACTCTGTTTTACATAGTTGTAGGTATTCTAGGGCACATTTTGCTTCGACATTGCATGGTTGTGTTCTTTGATGTTTAAACAGGTTTTCACACATAAAAAGAGTAAAATGAGTGGAAACATGGGCTTCGGAACATCACGGACGAAACGGAAACATTTGGAGTGTTTCCAGGGAAAACGTGAAGCTCCGAAAACGTCCGAATTTGCAGGTTCAATAACTTTCACTCCACAAGTCCAAAGCATGCATTCTCTACATCATTGGAAAGCTCTTCTCAATATCTACGCATAGATATCAAGATCACCAAATCCGATATCAGAGTAAAAAGTTATGAGCGAATTCGTG